ATAGTTAAACAGTGGTCATACCAGCAATATATCCAGCAACGAATGTAACAACCAATTGCTCCCCTTCGGTGCATTCTCCGAGAGGTTTAGGCACAACATATTGGTACAAAAGTTCGACAGTTCTCTCGAAGCAGGCGAACTTCATCATAGTGTATGGAATTTGTCTCATCCAGAGAGGAGGAAGTCCCTTGAACGTTAAAATAAGGATTGCTTACATGTGGCGTAGTTACCTTGAAAAATCCGGCAAGTCCTTCAGTTCTGTAGATCAATGGTGCACAACCTCTAAGAGTTGGTGGAACTCCAACAGCAGTTTGAACGCGGACCTTAGTAGCCTCCATAGGAGCGAGAAGGATATCAGCAAAGAATTCTGCGGAAGCAGAAGCGGTCAAGTAAAGAGCAGTACGGTAAAGGTAAGCATTCTCAGCTCCAATAGCGTCAGCATAGACGTTCTTGAAAATTTCATAGAATCCGAACTTTCCGAATCCTTGAAGTGAATATCCGATCAAAGTTGGAGACCACCCCTTGGAAAGAGCGCGAACTCCTTCTTCAGCAACTGTGGTTTTGAATCCTGATACAATACCCTTATACTTCTCGGGATTAACCTAAAATTACAACAGTTTCAAAGTCTCACAGTTGTAAATCACCTGGATACGACATTTTATCAAGTCAAGAGGTGCGATGGCTGTGTGAGTGAGTCCACAAGAAAGAACTCCACCAAGAGCGCAGTAAGCATAGTATTTTCCGGATGCAAACTCGATAGCACTGTCTGAAAGCACACGTAACAAATCGTACACCCTTCAGTGTCAGAAGCTAGACAAACCTTTCACGCTAGCTAGAGTGGTACTTATTAAAGATACGGTCAATTGCAATTTATTATAAGAGAAATCGTATGAAAACCATTCAATGAGGCCATCCATTAATTTACAAACACACCAAAAGTATAAAACTACCCATGTTGACAAAATAACACCCCAACCCACAGTGCCTCCACGGTATTGGGGGGTTTTAGCAAGAATAAGATATGGGTAGCTTTTCTCTTGGGTTTCAGATGTCATAATAAAACACCATTAACAACAGCATGAATAAGATTTTATAAAAAATGACAAATTGTGCCACGCATATAGCCACGTTACGCACCCAGATAGTGATCAACAGATCGATCAAAACGTTATTTTTCAAAAATTTTCTGGCAACTCGCCAATTAAAAGACTCGTTCATAAGAATGTTCAACCAAGTGGTTCATCAATGAGTATCGAATAGTTAGCAAGTGTGTAGTTCGTTATCTTAGTATCTTCCAAATTTAAAACTTATAGTCACAAGTTTATAAGAAATGGCGGACACAGAATTGAAGAAGGTTTGAAAT